AATTTTTTAATATTATATGAAAAAAATTTGCAGTTAAAGTCATATGACAAATGATCTACGTGTACTCTACCTTTAAGCTCAACGAGGAGAATCTCTAAATAGTCATAATCCACAAAAAATCACAAAATTTACCTTATGTCACCACAAAATTCATGTAATGTCGCCACAAAAAATCATCATCCCCTTGACCAGATATGAGCCAAACTTTGGCTTAACGTTAATTTTTGGATCTACGTAGTGTCGTTTAGGTTACATCCCGATACTGGCACTAAAATTAGTTCTAATTCGTAGATATCGACAAAAAAATTCATATAGTTGTCAAATCGTAAAAAAAAACATTTAAGTCTAGTATTAGAACTAGAACTATTTTAGAGATTTTCTTTCGCGATTAAATTCGTGATTAAATTCGTGATACATCCATTTTCCTATTATGTACCGTTTCTCACGAACTTGCCATTAAGTGTTTTTTCTTTTTTTTCACTATACTTACAACATGAGATACATATGGTCGAAATTAAATTTAGATAGAGCTTTGGTTCTCCTGTGTTTGTTGTTACTCGTACAAATCTCATGTTTTTTTCTTTTTACAGATCAACCTTTTCCGCAAATAAATTTTTCAACGTCAATGCAGCATACCAAATCCTTTATAAAAGTTGATGGCACCAGATTTATTCTAGACAATAAACCGCATTATGTGGTTGGGGCGAACTATTGGCAAGCTATGAACCTTGGAATGGAAAGTGGGAATAGATCAAGAGTATTAAAGGATCTAGAAACTTTAAAAAAGAATGGGATTAATAGTTTGAGAATTATGGCTGCAAGTGAAGGTCCTCCAAATGAACCTTATAGAATGTATCCAGCTTTAATGAATTCACCGGGAGAATATGATGAAAGTGTTTTTCAAGGTATTCTTCGCGCTCGTTTTTTTTTAATACAAGTTTTAACATTTAATTAATCTTTTTAAACATCATTTTGTGACAGGACTTGATTGGTTTCTTGACCAATTGAAAAACTATGACATGACTGCGATTATGGTCAGTTAGCATTCTCTAAATCAATCATCTATAAAAAGCATTTTTGGTTAAATTACTTCCAAAGTTTGAAATATTTCGCCAAGAAGAAATAACGGTTTAACTCACAAAATATCCTGTAATTTTACTCTTATTAAATGAAATTATTTCTTCAGAATGACCATTTTCATTCGGCAAAATATTTCAGATTCGCCCATGATTGCTGGTCTCCTGTTTTTTTTTTTTTTTTTTTGTTTTAAAAAAAGTTATCTAATGGATCAAACATATTACAGAGACTTCTTTAAGTGCATCCTTCACAAATGCATTCTCTGTGTAAAATCTCGAAGTTCATGGTGTAGTCTGGTCTTAGCTTTTACTAATACTATGTATTTGCTTTCTACGTGTAAATACCCACCCCTCTAAACGCACATCTTCGAATTTTTACTATGGTCCCGAGGGGGTGCATTAAGGGAGGTTTCTCTGTATTTGTTGTCGACTGAATTTATTATTGTAATTAACACAAATTTAATTTGAAATAAATTTTCACTATATGACGATAATATTTTTTTAAGAATATTTATGAATTTTAGTTTATTGCAATGGCGATAGCAACACTAAAAACATATATTTGAGTTTGATTAATAAAATGATAGATTCAATCACATTTGTTTTATGAGTGTTCTATCGTATAGTATACATCAAATTTTATATTTTTGTATTAGAAATACGGAAAAAATTTTAACCATCAGATTCACTTCTCTAACACTTCTCATTATGTCAACATCGTCTAAAGAACTGTTAATTTATTTTCATTCTTAATTTGCTTTGCATGATCCAAGAACACACGTAATGTTTCTTTATCCGTATCGTATACAGAGTACCATCCCGGCACTAATATTGATGAAAGGCGAAAAAAAAATAAAAATAAATAGGTAAATGAAATTTAAATCAATTCGCCACAATACATTATGCATCTACTTCCTGCATTGCAGTCATTTTAAACCATGTTATTATACACTTACCCTCATGAGGTGGATCACCGACCCACGTAGGTTTTGAATCACTGGGACGCCCAATTCCAGAGTATGCCCAAAACATAAGCCCCGTTTGTGCATGTTGTTTTTCCAATTCAAAAATTGTCTTTGCTACTTCAGTGAAATATTTATTTCTGTTAGTTACAGGTGCTTCTGGATCATACTTTGAGAGATCGGTCCAACCATCACGCGCCATTCCTTTATTAAAGAAAGATATTAGAAAGTGTGAAAGAAAAAGAAGAACAGTGATGATTTTAAAACAGACCATATTCCCCCAGTAAAACAGGTTTCTTTAAAATGTTAGTTGACCAATCACTAGTCTCTTGTAGAAAAGTGCGCATAAAGTTTACAGCTCTTTGAAGATTTTCCGGGCTCGGATCACCTGAACTATAGTGTCCCCAGTTTTCAACCCATACATGTACGCTAGTAAAATCTTTTAAAATTAAATTAAATTTTTTTTTTTTTTTTAATTAAATATTTTTTATAAAAATTCACATTTAAAAAAAAAAAAAAAAACAATAATTAACCAATACTATCACTCTTATGCATAGTAATAAACCAATCTTTTCCATGTTTTCCTTCGGTTCCTGTAGTCACTAAATGATTTTTGTCCAACGATTTAATGAACTTAGAAGTTTCATCGAACCATTGAAAAACTACGTCATGCGCATTCGAAGTGTAAACAGCTTGTGGCTCATTTGCTAATTCCCAGGCAAATATTGTAGGATCATCTTTATATACCATGCCATTAACAGTATTTTTCCGCTTTATAACAGTTTTTAT